CATTTAAAAGGAAGGAGATCTGAGCAAATGTGAAAACTAAAGAGGCATCACACTACTGCCAGTACCATGGAAGGTCTTTAACAGAGTTTTGCTGAACTGGATGAAAGATGCGGTAGACGGTTAACTTCGAGATCAACAGGCTGAATTCCGTAAGGATCGGTTATTCACAGACCGAACTGCGACAACATGGGTCATCGTCGAACAATCAGTTGAGTGGAACTCATCGCTATACATCGACTTCATTGACTATGAGAAGGCGCTTGACAGTAGCCCTCTTATCGCATACACACGAACAGATGCAGATAAAGACAGCCAGTGTAGCAGCAGTCTCTGCATCAGTAGGCCTCAACACACACAAGGGGGAAACAAAGGTCCTCAAATACAACACAGAGAACAGAAATCCAATCACTCTTGATGGCAAAACTCTGGAAGATGTAGAATCCTTCACATAACTGGGAAGCATCATCGATGAACAAGGAGGTTCAGATGCAGACGTAAAGGCGAGGATTGGCAAAGCAAGGCCCGAATTCCTACAGTTGAAGAACATATGGAATTCAAAACAACTGTCAACCAATATCAAAGTCAGAATCTTCAATACGAACGTCAAGGCAGTTCTACTGTACGGAGCTGAAAGTTGGAGAACTACAACAACCATCATCAAGAAGGTGCAAGTATTTATGAATGGTTGTCTAAGCAAGATACTCAACATCCATTGGCCGGATACCATCAGCAACAGCCTTTTGTGGGAGAGAACAAACCAGCTTCCAGCTGAAGAGGAAATTAGGAAAGGACGATGGGAGTGGATAGGACATACATTACGCAAATCGTCAAACTGCATCACGAGACAAGCCCTAACTTGGAATCCTGAAAGGAGGCGTAAAAGAGGAAGGCCAAAGAACACATTACATCGGGAAATAAAAGTAGATATGAAAAAGATGACTAACAATTGGAAGGAGCTGGAAAGGATGCTCGTTCAGGAGGAGTAACAGGCGTAAGTAAGTAAGTAAGTAAGTAAGTAAGTAAGTAAGTAAGTAAGTAAGTAAGTAAGTAAGTAAGTAAGTAAGTAAGTAAGTAAGTAAGTAAGTAAGTAAGTAAGTAAGTAAGTAAGTGAGTAAGTAAGTAAGTAAGTAAGTAAGTAAGTAAGTAAGTGAGTAAGTAAGTAAGTAAGTAAGTAAGTAAGTAAGTAAGTAAGTAAGTAAGTAAGTAAGTAAGAACAACCAGGTTATTTGTTGAGGAGTAACATGATATTCACCGTATGAGCAGAATAACGGTTTTCTCATCTGAATGCTGAAATTATTTCTCACGCTGAAGCAGGTCAAAATTAGCCAAGTTCCCAAACATTTATTTGTCATTCGATAAAAGGGTTTATAGGTAATGGTATATCTACATGATATAAAAAGTACACAACTCTGAACTCTTATCCCTGCACCTTTTAATTACATTTCATCGAATGAATCTTTCTACAATCAGCCTACTATTGATGGATACGAATTTACGCTAAACGAAGAGACCGTCGCCAATATAAATCCCACACAACCAGTCAATTGGTTAGTGTTCGACTTTGACGTAGATAAGACAGCAAGGGTCTTCCGAACTTCATTGCCCATCTCTGGTCTCAGAACAGTATTCTGCGTCACAATAAGTGAAATTTACCATTATTTTGTCGCCTACAGTTAAATTTGCATGTTAAAATATTTCTACATAACCTCAATTGTCAACCAAGAAGGTATCGTTCATAGAAAATACTCATTTATCTCCCGATTTATGTATCGAACTCGAAATTCCGAGAATCGTGGTCAGAGCATAGTCGATATGCAATAACAGTTTGAATCTAATAATTTATCATACTTCTGTATGTCCCACTACAATATGTTAAGCATTGTTTAGCGTTCATACCCAAGTGCCTTGTTGTTTCTCCGTTTCTCTTTTTTTCAGAATCTCGCTCTTAGGGCACAGCTATAGAGGTTCTGACGTCTTGCGCAAACTCGACGTACGCATATTCTCAAGGTCATAGTTCACATCAAACACTCGACAAATCTACTTTGCAATAACTACAAACTTAAGAAGTTGTATTGCATTAATACTTAGCACGACCAGAATTCTAACACAATTATGCCGAGTTCGAATTTGTTTTGTAAGGTGAACGCGATGCCACTTTAGAAAAATATTTTTAAAGACTGTACTTAGTGTCATACGAAAGCGCAGACCTAATCACTAACGCTCCAAGACATTTGAACAAATGTACTGTTATTCACTTTTGTTGGTTTCATATATTTAACGACCCCACTTGAGAAGCATACTATGAGACAACAAATATTGCAATTTGCAGATCATGCCTGTACCAATGGCGTGTATCTGTCCTGGCAGAAATATACTATTGTTATTATTACTTGTCTGAAGGCGATCTAAGAGAGAAGATGAGAGGTTTATTGTCATTCAAATGAATTTTCGGCCTTCCATGGTGTTAAAGGTAGGGTACAGTACAATACATGGCTAGAAGTTCTCTGCTGAATGTGCTGTGTCTAAATTCAGTGACTTGCAACTGTCTTTAGAATAATTCCAGAGGTTGCTAGTCGTTACTGACCCATTTTTGTAAAACTCCTCTGATTTCCGAGTCGGATGCTTTTGCTGCAATACTAATGGGTGCTTTGGTGTCATGGTGTGCGAGCATAGTTGCTTTTGTGATAGCTTACTTAGCTGTAGAGAATGTTTTTTCGCAATGCCATCCGAACTGATGATTTTTGAATTTTCACGAATTTGGTTTGTAAGACGTCTTTTGAGAGACGCCAAATTTGATATGAATCACCTATGAAAACTTATCAAGCCATCGAACGTGAGTGACTCACTGGCTGTGGTCGGTTCTGAGTGATATAGAATGGTCGCAACTTTGTTTTTCAGAGGGCGAATGCCTCGAGTGTCAATAGTGTTTCCGAGAAAGTTCAGAGGGTCAGTTCTGATCTTATATTTCTGAATGTTTACAGTAATGCAGTGCTTTCGCAGTCGTTCGACAACAAGATTAGTGTGCTGGAGATATGACTTTCTGTATGGACTTTCAATAATTCAGTCATTTACATACGCTTGAACGAATTTCAGACTTCGAAATACATCATCGATGAATCTCTGAAAAGTTTGTGCGGCATTTCTTAAACTGTTAGGTCTGGACGGAAATTCGCGGATTGCGAAAGGAGTGATGATAGCCCTTTTACGAACGTCGTTTACGGCCATGGGAATTTAATTGGATGGTCATAACCTACAACCAGAAAGTGGAGCTCCACAAATAGATAATTTAGTATTTTCGTCTACTAATTTCAGTTTACTTGTGATGATGAGCAGGCTATAATGGTGTGCCGGGACTACACGAATGGTTGACGCTAAAATGTCTGAGACCACGGCGATCTAGTGAATAGATTCAAGTAAACCTACGTTAAGTTACACATACACGTTAATTTAAGTGACAATCGGATTCTCGTTTACCGCCTGTAAGTCGAAGACCGGAGTTTCGTCATCACATCATTGATACATGATAGATAGCTGTTAATGCTTACCTAGGGGAAGTTTCTTGAAAGGTTTTTCGTGATGGAAGGTTTGAGGTTGGGGAAATTGCAGAATTTCTAGCAGTTTCGAGAAGACTTACAATACTTATTTTAGCGCAAACATCAGTCAGGATTATCTGCCTCTTGTAATCTAGGGAGAGATTATTTTAGTGATGGGCTTCTTCGAGTAGTTTGTGAGCTTCTGCGATTATGATGAATATTAAAATAAGGAATTAGAGTTTGACAGAGGTGTGTAACATCATTTACTGTCGTTCGAGGCTATTATTTGACAGAAAAAACTTCGGTGCTCTGGGTTCTGGTAATCTCTGGAATCCAGTCGACAGATGCAGCCAGTCCCTTTACGGAGTTAATTTGAAATGAGACAAGAACAGTCTGCACTTGTTGAGGGAGCTTAGACAAGAAGAGTTGTCTGGGCAGGTCCTCGTCAAGGGCCCGCTGGTCAATGACCTCTCGCATTCGTAATAACTTTTCCGTTACTGAGCCGTGTAGCAACTTGATGTTGTGGAAAAGCTGATCTGACTTTTGTTGGTTGGTTAGGTCAAAACGATTAAGGATAGTCTTCTTTAGAGTATTGCAAGATTCAGAAACATCACACTAGGTGTGACTTACATGGTAAAATCGCTCTGTGGTGTCTTCAGTACTGCGAAAAATTGTGCAGGCGCGTATGTCAAACCGTGTTTTTGGAAGTCAGCTTCTGAATAACAGAACTAGGCTTCGATATTATTGGGCTAGAATAGCAAGAGTTGGAAGCTGGTAGGCGAAAGAGTTCTAATCTTATGTAGTTTGGGTATCTGTTCCTTTATAGTGAATGTAAAATATACAAATGTGCGAGAAAATCCGAAAATGAAAAAAGCGATATCACTGTATGTAAAAATAAAAGTTAAAGGAATCAAATATGACGTCACAAGCTATGTAGCAGGCCACGCCGGGCTTACCATTAAAGATGACATAAGTTCGACAGTGCCTTTACACGTAAAGATGCCACAAGTATCCACTACACAAGTAATAATTTATAATTGAAGGATTCCAACCCAGTCCAATAAGAATCTAGAAACGAAGGAGTTTGAAAATGTGTTTGGAAAGCTATCGATATGTCGATAAGTGTTTGGTCTAAGCTGATTAGTAGCTGCTGATGAGTAGCATAGCGTGCTCACTTGTGATCTGGTGCAGCGAGCAAGAACATTTCGCTAGGGTGTGCTCAGCAAAAAATTTGGTCAGAACCAAGATCGAGGGCATATGAAAATATCTATATTGGGGATCTATTTACTACTACACTATCCTTATCACTGAAGTCTAAAAATAAAGCAGACTAGCTCAAGGAGATATAACAAAGAATACATAATAAGTTTCAGTTGCTGGGAGAGTGTATGGGTTCTTAGAATATCTCACAAAGACATCACCTTCATACCTTATCAAAATTTTTGTTTGGAACGTTTAAGATGTGAGCTTATAATGAGCAGGTCATAAGGGCGGGATTATCTGGCTGAGGGAGGCTGGGCACATCCTCGTGTTTCTTATCTCCAACTTCCAGAGTTTTGAGTTTCTTTGCAAGTAAGACTCACCTCTAAATAAATTTATAAATTAGGCACAGAAAGTTGATTCTTTCAGTTCATGCTTAGTTATACTTGGTTTTGAAATATAATAACGCTAGTATTTCGTTCTGCATTATGTCAGAAGTTTAACGTCCAAATCTTTTGCTAAAAATTCTGAGATAGTAATTTAGTACGGAAAAATCAGAACCCTGGAACAGACTCGGTTTTTTTTGTTTACTCATTATTCCTGACTAAAGTCTCTGGTCTGTAACATATTACAACATTCGAATCGTTGACACGTATTTTCGGATTAAATTTTCCCGTTGCACTGCTTAAAGACATCCAATATATAGTCTCATGTACCAAAAGGAATCCACTCCGTCTCATATTTGAGTAACGATGGGTTTAACAACTCGTCTCCCCCCACCGGGTTCTAGTATAATGTCTGGATATGATGAATTATTCCGACCACTTATTTACTAGTTTGCTAGTGTTGCTAATATTTAAATGTATCCACGAATTATTTTATAGTGTAGCAGAGGTTGGTTCACCTAGTTCATTTATATAAATGGACATCCTGTAGCTAGTAAGGTTACGGTGATCTGGCGAAGTTATCTTTGCAGATGTGCTTCATATATTTGTCTTAAAATGTTTCCCCAGCCACGTGGGTAACTCAGTCCCTGTTAAATGAACGATTCGTTTCAGGTTACAGTGAACTTAACGCTTTGCTCCACGTATTTAGTTGCTTTGGATCTTTCTGTATTGCCCAGCTAGTCGATTAATCTGTGCATCAGGCTGTTACGGATTTAAAATCCGTTTTGCATAATCAACGTTAACTAAGTTATTTAGCCTGCCATAAATTCTGTATGTTCTTCGTTTATAGTTTTGCTCAGCCCCGTCTTCGTTTTCATAACGAAAATTTTACGTTCTCTCTTGTCTCTTTTGCATAAGTTATAATAACACTTATTGCCGTCCTTCTACACAATTTTGGTGTCAACCAGCCTGTTTTCATGTCATATGTTCAGTTCGAAATGTTTCTCTTTCGGACTATACTCGACTTCGTGGTGAAATCCACTGTATCAATCATGTTTACAGAATGAAGTTATAAAAACAGACTAACCACTTCCAAATACTGCTGTGTTTTACTATTTTCATTTATCACGCAGAGGTGGCTTACTGGCCAAGGCGTTTGGCTGTTACGTTCCTGGTTCGAACCCTACTTCGCGTGCTTCGATTTAGGCGGTTGAGTAGTATCTTTAGCACTTACTATGGTCCATACTTAGATACTTAGTGAATGAGCTAATTTACTCTATACTCCATTTCAAATAATACACTTTGTACAACTCTTGTTGAATTTGAAGCGTTTTTATCACTACTTTTTGTGGTTCGCTGTTCTTTTAGTCTTATGCTAAAACGTCCATCCTTATTGTTTTTTTTTCACGTACTTTTCACACCACTTTAGTGTGAAACGTAGCGATAAAATACTTCTTTAAAACCAGATCATGTATTTATTTATTTATTATTATTATTATTTGAACACATGAATATTGGTACAAGAGAGCGCCAATATATATGCGCCACACAAAAGAATGAGAATTCGAAGAGAAAAAAAGGTATGGAGCGTAAAAAAGAACAATAACGAAGACATTGGTGTAAGGTAGTTTGGTAGTAATGAGGTAACAGAAAGGTACAATCAGAAGAAATCTTTCAGTTAAGGGAGACACAACCACTGTTTATAAAGAAAGTAAAAGGTTGCAGCAGGATCGTCACTGGTTTCTATTCTGAGCCATATCTGATAACGTCTCTAGCCACTGTGTAACACCATCTCTCGGACCCCAACCAGGGAGCCGTGAAGGACCGGCAGAAGCCAATCCTTTGCAGATTTCTTTCATACCACGACACCATGTCATGCACTGGCCACCTCTCCGCTTCTTCCAACCAGTCCCAGAGTCTGCAAATAATGCACGACGTGGAATTCTCTGCGACGACATTCGGAGAACATGTCCAAGCCACCGAAGTCGGTGTTTCAAGATGGTGACACCAATTGAATTATCATCTCTGTGCCCGAACACACGATGCCGAACCTCTGCATTACTGACATGGTGTTGCCACTGAATGTCAGCAATCCTTCGGAGACAGCGATGATCGAACACAGAGAGTCGTCTAACGTCCTCAACTCGGAGAGACCAGGTTTCACAAGCATAGAGCAAAACTGCTCTCACCGACGCGTTGTAGATCCGACCTTTTACAGCCAGACTAACATCACGAAGGCGCCAAAGGTGGCCCAGATTGGCATAAGACGCTCTGGCTTTCACTATACGTGCATTGATCTCATCACTCACACCCCCACCAGCACTTATGCAGCTACCCAGATACACGAACTTCTCGACTACGTCTATCTGCTCACCATCCAGGGTGAGTACAGGATTGTAATCCTGCCAGTCTTGTAGAAGTACTTTGCACTTCGAAGGTGCAAAGCACATACCATACCTACGGACACTGATTGCCAGCTGATTAAGTGCGGATTGCATGCCTTGGGCATTATCGCACAGTAAGACAATATCGTCCGCATACTCAAGGTCGAGAAGTCTTTCTCCAAGCAACAGATCCACACCACCATTACTTACATTCATCAGAGCTGTTTCCAGAATGTCATCGATGGCAAAATTGAAGAGGAATGGTGAGATTGGGCAACCCTGCCTAACCCCACTACTCGAATGGAACAATGGAGAAAGGTGGTTGTATGCCCTCACTCTGCCTGAGGTGTTTTTATATAGGGCTTTTAGGATGTTAATAAACTTCTCAGGCACACCCTTCTTCAATAGGCAATCCCAGAGAACAGTCCTGTCCAACGAATCGAAGGCAGCCCTGATGTCAAGAAACACGACGATTGTTGGCCTTTGATAAGTATGGCGATGTTCTAACATTTGGCGGAGGGTGAAGATATGATCAATACATCCTCGACCAGAACGAAACCCAGCCTGCTCCTCGCAAGTCAATCTTTCTCGGGTTTTGAACAACCTACGAAGTATGATGGAAGCCAATAGCTTGGACGCAATCGGAAGTAGACTTATCCCCCGATAGTTGTTACAGGAACGACGTGAACCCTTTTTAAAGATAGGGACAACTATCGACTCATTCCATGACGTTGGTACACTCTCTAGTTCCCAAACCTTTGTAAACAACGTCGTCTATTCCTTAGTAAAAAAGTCACCACCATCTTTAAAAAGAGCCGGAGGTAAGTCATCTGGGCCAGGTGATTTGTAACGCTTCAAGAGTTGGAGTTCCTTGTGGACTTCCTCCTCGTTTGGTGGATCAGTCGTCACCGGCCATGGAGGGCGGGACAGTCTGACCGATGTTGCCGGAGCAGCAGGCCAGTTGAACTGCCCATCGTCCAAGACGTCGATGGATGTTAGTGATTGGCATTCCATCATCCTCGCAGATTGTTTCACTCACACCAGACTTCTTGCTGCCAGTGGCTCGGATGAACTGGAAGAGCTTCCGGTAGTTACCAGATGCAGCTGCTGCTTCCAGCTCATTAGCACGCTTTGACCACCAGGCTTCTCGGTCCTTACACAAGCTTTGCCCAATTTCCTTACGTAACATCCTTCGTTTATGGTCAAGCTCACGGTCACCCGGAGTAGACCGACGGGCTTCAGTGAGTTGTAAGGAACCTGAAGAAACCCAGTGCGAACCCACAACTGACTGTACCCGCCATTTTCATGGCGTCATGCAATTGCAACCAATGCTCATCTATAATTTTCGGTGGAGTGGTAGCTAGCCTAGAGGCTAGCTCGGTTCGATACTTATTTGCAACAGAAGTTTCAACCAGCTTGCTAATATCAATCCGTTGATGGCAGTCACTTCGTTGTCCACTGAAAAGTAAGGTAAGATTGGCGCAGACCAAGGCATGGTCAGAGTCCAGATAGGTACTCCAAAAGGAGCGACAGTCTTTTACACAACCACGCCAGCGGTAGCTGATCGCGATGTGATCAATCTGAGTCCAGGCTTGGGATGCAGAGGGAGGACGCCAGGTGGCACATTGGCGATGACTGTGCCGAAAGTTAGTGCTAGCCAGAAACAGGTTGTGGTCTGTGCACAGTTGCAGTAGACGGTCCCCGTTATCTGACCTGCGACCAACGAGTCCCCATCGGCCACATAAACGACTCTCTTCTGTGCCTAGACGCCCGACCTGAGCATTCAAGTCTCCGGCTAGTACTACAATATCTGTCGAACGCACTTTCTGGAGAAGAACAGATAACTGGTGGTAAAACTCATCCTTGATTGCATCCGGGCTGCAATCTGTCGGGGCATAGGCGGAGATGACGAAAAGACATCGTTTCTCACGCCGATTTCTTCTCACTTTGATGGAACTTTCTAATCTGACAGCACATAACTGACTGTTAATGGGGATCCAATCGACTAGTGCTACCTCAGCTCTAGCGCTTAGTGCGACACCAACGCCAGCAAGACCAGACGAAGATGCCACAGGGTCCCCGGATAAGCGCATGTAAAACAAGCTTTTCGAAGCGACTGATGGAGATCGAATTTGTAGTACTTCGCCAGAGTCTTGAATACGGGTCTCGGATAGACAACAAACATCAATATTAAGACTTTCCAAAGACATAGCCAGCCCTATCTGTTGTCCGACCTGCATAAATGTGCGAACGTTGAAGGCAGCCAGTTTGAATGGTGTACGTGGTTTCAGAAAAACTGCTTCAGTCCTCGTATTCGATGGTAACAGACAATTTTCAACTGGACAGTGACTCGAGAACGTTTAGATACAGCCGAATTTCCACCAAAGACGAGCCGCTGTATAAGTATAAAAGAGGGTGAATAATGTGGAAAATAATAATAATAATAATAATAATAATAATAATAATAATAATAATAATAATGACAATAATAGTAATAATAATAGTATTAATAATGATAATAATTGTAATGATGATTATTTGAATCGACTGATTGTTTTTCGGAGCGATAAAAGTAGTTGCCATAGACATAGAGTTCATCGTTTGTGTGTAGGCTGTGATACTGCCCGGGTGCCCAAACCGAAGCAGGTGGTTATCTTAGGGGGCCACTCCCCGAGCCTTTGACCTAAAGGTCTAACCCACAAGGCAGTGGAGCATCGTAAGGAGATGCAATCCCATGGTAGCCGGTGACCAAAGATTGGTTCATACGCCATTTGTTCCCGCAGGATACTGGAGCCCATGTGCACCATTGGTTTGTGATCCGGTTAAATCGCCGGACATTCGCTTTTCGTCCTCTCATTTTCGTAAACAACACCCCCGCCACGAGAAGGCGATGAGTAGGACTTCCCTGGCAGAGGCTGTATACGCGCGACCGTGTGAGAGTATTTCGAGAGGGAGAGCGGACTCACCCCACTCTCGGCCGTACCAGGGGATTCGGGGGCAAGTGGGCAGGTTGATGTGCTCGGTTCAAACTCGTGTTTTCTTTCTGGGGGGGTGTTGAGTTACTCTGCTCCTCATACCAAAATAGGTGGATCAAATTCAAAACATCCTTTGTTGGTTAGACACGCACATTATAGTCTACTCACTATCGCAGCAAAATAGTAGTTATAAGCACTCATCTAGAGTTCAATAGGTATATGAGTTTTGACTATAAATGCTCAAACTCACCCCCAGTGTTTTAGGAACATGGTGATAAGCGAAAGTTTATTTTAGATAGACATGTATACATACTAATCATGAGTACCTTAGGGACGGAAGCGAAGTACCCTAATAAAGGAGCGACAGTGGATAACAATGTACTTGTGGTGTTATCAAGGATACTAGGAGTTAAAGTTCAATAGTTTGTTCGACGGTCTGATTTAAAGATGAGTTATTTGTCCGCCCTCAAACTAGGATAGTAAAAAGAGAAGCGGAACGCTTTCCAATCGAACTCATATGAATCCAAGCACTAAAAATTTTTGTGGACAGTAGTCCAAAATTATTGGGTATTTCGACTGAGATATTGGTTCGGGTTTATCAGCCATTGTAATTTTAACTGACTAGTTTCAACCAAAGTGTTACACTACAGTGTATATAAGATCGTCAACATCACAGAATTCTTACGACGGAATACACTGCGAGGTCGTTAATGAAAGGCAGCTCACGTGCTTGGCATTCTAGACAAACAGGTAGGATCTGATGCAAATGTGAAGGCACGGATTGGCAAAGTAAGGTTATCATTCCTACTACTGAAGAACATCTGAAACTTAAAACAACTGTTTGCAAGCCAATATCAGAATTTTCAGTGGGAACGTCAAGACAGTTCTGTTGTACAGGGCTGGTTTTTGTTCTGGTTGAAGATATATTGATCATATATTCACCTCCAACCTAATGTCAAAACACCTTACTCATCGCAGATCTATGGGCGTTGTGTTTTTTGATATCAAGACACACTTCAGTTTTTGGGACAGGACTTCTCTGAAATTTTCTGTTGAAGAGTGGTGTTATTGAGAAGTTTATTAACATCTTGAAGGGCCTGTGTACAAGCACCTTGAGCAGGGTGAGGGCATGGAACCACCTCTCTACATTGTTCTCTTTCGAGGAGGAAAGCTAGACAGAGTTGCCTCCTAAACTTTGCCGTCGTTGAAATTCTGGAAAAAACGGAAGTAGATAATGGTGGTATGGGTCTATCACCTGGAGAAACTTTCAAATCTTGAGCATACGAGTGATATCGTCTTACTATTCGATGATACTCAAGCTGTACAATCTCCACATTTTCAGTTTTTAATCAGCATCCGTAGGTATGGTGTGTACTTTACATTAAAGTGCAAAGCACTTTTACAAAACTGGGAGGAGCCTGTGTATGCTCCTACTCTTAGTGCGCAGCCACTAAAGATAGTCGGAAAGTTCGTATATCCAGGTAGTTGTGTGAAAGTTCTGGTGGTTACGTGCCTAGTAGGATCAGCCTTTATACAGTTAAGGCCAGAGCAACTTATACGAATCTGAACAATCTTTGTCGTCGTTATGCTGTTTATAGGTCGGGTCGACGGCGAGTCAGCGAGAGTAGTTCTCTATCTGATTATGAAATGTTCTGAGTAAACCTGATTTTGAAACACAAGCGTGCCTAATGACTTTTAATCCAAGACGTATTCCTTGATCTTTGGTTTAGTAAATTATGTGCGAGCGTTTTTGATCGCACGTCAACTAAACACCTCACCATAGTAAAGGGTGCATATTGGCATACCTATTCTAAATTTCCAGTCATGTGTAATTCTTCACTTTTCAATTTATTCGATCCTCTTGAACTAAATTTTGTATGTTTGGCTTTCCAGTGCGAATGATGTTCTTACTCAAACTCATTTACTTTTTATATTGTGATTGTGAAAGTTTCAATAACTTTAAGAGATAACTTAATACTAGGTTTTTTGTTGTCTATGAGCGCAAATGTTATTATTAAAAGCTCATGTTCATAACTCGTTTCTGTTTCGGATACTGTCTGAGAACTTTGATATATTTATCCTCATGTGTGTACCTCAACATATCATCGTGATTTCAATATTGTCAGTTGGGATTCGGAATAAAATTAATGATTACTTGTTATCCGTGTTTGATTTTTAGTCACCAACATTTCAAAGTATGCCTCTATTTGGTAAGCCAAAAAGCCCTCGTGAATTAATCCAAACTGTTAATGAGAACATAATCGTAAGTCTAAGCGTATTGTTTACTAATTTTTTAAGATTTTAAGTAACTGTGCCAAAACCGACAAAGAGCGGAAAAAAGCTGTTGAAGATATAGCAAGGGCTTTGACTGCTCTTCGGGAGCTGCTGACGGATAAGTCAGATACTCGATTGACTGGCAAAGAACGAGATTCAGAATTATCGAACTCTGAACGAGCACGAATTAATGAAATCATAACAGATGTAACTCATGAAATCATCAACCTCAATCTTTTGCCACTTCTCGTAAACAATTTGGATGCCATAGAGTTTGAGGTATATGCTTTTTTGTTAGGCATGTTTCATTTATTTAGAGTTCTAAACATATCGTTGATCTTTTCGGCCATATTATGAGGCGACAGGTCGGATCTTATAATCCTGCAGCTCAATATCTTCTGGCTAACTCTCAAATTCTAATATCTATTCTCCAAGGATACTCCAAACCTGACACTGCTATACACTATGGTGCAGTAAGTCTCATAGCTAGATTCTTAAACTGTTGATTTACATATTATATCTGTTCCCAACAAAGTTTTTATGAAATCATATTTCAATTCTGAAGCTTTCATGTTTAATTGAATATTCTAGTGTTGTACTGGTATCAATACGCTTGTTAGGACGATTTACACAGTACTACAGATGTAGGAAAAATCTGAGAAATATCAGTTCTGCATTACTCTATGGTTGTTGATTTCCTGTCACGTAATGGTTCAAACATGGTATCTACAGTTTAAGAGTTTTGGGAATTTATTAGAAATCATCAGTCAGTCAGTCAGTAACAACGTAGGACTTCGTACTTACGAACATCAGTTCGAGTTGCCATACCACACTAGCACAGAGATGCAGTTGTCGATTCAAATACCGCAGTGGTAGAGGTAGTAAGAGTATAAGCAGTAATCGGGAAGATTAGGGTTTGGAGATGTTATTTAAAGAGTATAATCCAGTGAAATAAATTTGGGAAGAGAAAAAAGAGACAAGGAGGAATCAGGAGATTAGAATTTGAGAGAACACAAAGAGTGTATGCACCTGGGCCATTACAAACGATTTTGAGCCATGTCATTCAGGGTCTCTAACCATCGGTTGCTATCATCTCGCAGTCCCCAACCAGGTAGTCTGCACCTACCAACATGACTCAGTCCACTTGTCAGTGACTTCATGAACTTGTGCCATGTTTTGGTTTGGCCGCCCCTAGCTTTCTTCCAACCTACTCCTATACCACTGAACACAACACGTCGAGGCAGTCGGTGGTTGGACATACGTAACACGTGTCCCAGCCACCTCAACTGATGAACTTTCACCACTTCATCAATCGATTTGCCATCCTTACCTAGTACCCGTTTCCTAACAACTGCGTTACTTACTCGGTGGTCCCAGGATATACGGGCAATGTTTCGAAGACATCTATGATCGAATACTAGTAACTTACGAATATCCTCTACTCTTACCGGCCATGTTTCACTGCCATAAAGTAGGACGGAACGAACTGCTGCGCAGTAAACACGTCTTTTGGTTGATAGACGGATATCTCGCCTACGCCATAAATGAGGCAAGTTGGCAAAAGCTAGTCGAGCCTTCTGTATCCGTGCTGAGATTTCGTCACACACCAAACCACAAGGGCTGATGAGACTTCCAAGATAAGTGAAGCGGTCGACACACTCAACTACTTCACTCCCTATCATTAGTTCGGGTGTCGATGCGACCCAATCCTGAAGCAACATTTTGCATTTCGAGGGAGAGAATCGCATCCCCAACATGCCTGCATTGTTGCTTAGAGTGGTCAGAAGACTCTGCATTTTATCAGTCTTCACCAAATAGGACTATGTCATCTGCATATTCCAAGTCAACAAGTGAATCTCCTGGGAGAAGTTCAACCCTTTGAAATTTAGATGAGTAAAGTGTTATTTCTAAAAGTACGTCAATGACAAAGTTAAACAAGAGTGGAGAGTGGGCAGCCCTGACGAACACCACTTGAGGTAATCAATTCTGATGACAGTTCGCTATAAGCTCTCACTCTACCAGTTATGTTCGAGTAGAGAGCCTTTATAAGGTTAATGTACTTCTTTGGTACTCCTTTCAGTGACAAACACTGCCATAGAACCTCACGATCAACAGAGTCTAATGCCGCCTTAAGGTCGAGAAATACTACCATTGTGGGGCGTCTGAATGTGTGTCTGTGTTCTAGAACCTGACGTAGTGTGAATATCTGATCTATACAACCACGTCCAGGTCGAAAACCGGCCTGGTTTTCTCTAATCTGCTCTTCACGAGCTTTGGTTAGGCGTCGAAGTATTATTGAGGCTAATATTTTAGATACTATATTAGTCAAACTGATTCCTCTGTGATTGTCACAAGAGGACTTTTGTCCTTTCTTATAGACTGGCACAATCAGTGATTGAGACCAGTCAGATGGGATTACGTCCAGTTCCCAAATTCTACCTAAGACCTCGGTTAATCTCACTGCTAATACTGAACCACCATCCTTAAAAATCTCAGGAGTGAACCTGTCAGGGCCTGCTGCTCTTCCTCGCTTCAGATTTCCTATAGCTTTTTCAACTTCGTAAAGGGACGGAGGACCTACATTAACTTGTCATTCAGGTTGACTGGAGATCGTGGGAAACTAAAGTGTGGCTGAAGGCCAGTTGAACTGATCCCTAAAGTGTTATGCCCATCGATCCAATCTCCTGGATTGAGAATGTTTAATATGTCCATCTTTCTCTGAGAGTGTTTCGCTAACAATTGGTTTCCTAATACCGGTTTCCTTAACAAGTCTGAACAATTGTCTGCTATTACCTATTGCCGCTGCCTTTTCCATCTCTCTTGCTTTCGCTACCCACCACTGTTCGCGATCAGTGCGTAGGCTTCTTGTCAGTTTGCGCTTAAGCTCACTCCGCTCTTCGTTATGTTCAGATCCAGATGGAATGAGTTTTCGAGCATCTATCAGTGCGGTAGATGCTACTGAGATCCAGTGTTGCTCCGTAACCTTGTGGTTTACCTTACTAGCAGATATCACTGCTGTTTCTACAGCTTTTCGGATATCATTCCATGCTGCCTCGAGGTGGGCATCACATACATGGCTGCCTAACTGTTTTCCTAGTTGTTCCTGAAATAAACTCTTAGTTTGACTATCATTAAACAGGACCCTAAGAGGTTTTCTTGCAGCGTCTTTCTTACGTCCAGTAAGACGTAGGCAAATATGCGCTCGTACTAGAGCATGATCTGAATCTAAGCATGAGCGACAGTCTTCTATCCAGCCCCTCCATCGGTGGTCGATAGCGATGTGATCTATTTGGGTCCAACGTTGGGGCGAATTAGGGGGTCGCCATGTTAAAAGATGTTTTTCCTTATGCTTAAAGTTAGTATTTGCAAGGAAAAGGCGGTTATCTGAGCATAGCTGCAACAGACGGTCGTCATTATCTGTTCTTTGAGCCACAGCACCATAAGATCCACCTAGGTGTCTTTCCCTTTCGCTTAGTTTACCTACTTGAGCATTAAAGTCACCGGCCACTATTACTGCATCCGAGCGCTTAGCTTTTCGGAGAAGGTCCGAAAGTTTTCTGTAAAACTCATCTTTTACATCATCTGAGCTGCAGTCAGTGGGAGAATAGGCAGAGACGACGAAGAGGCAACGACGAGTGTCCCTATCTTTCCGGATTCTTACTGTTCCGTTCAGTCGGACAGCGCACAAACGACTGTCTACTGGGATTCAGTCTAAGAGAGCTACTTCTGCCCTAGGTGTTAGCGGGACATAGACTAGATTAAAGCATGCTCAATGCATGATTGTTTTGGTGCACGCTGATTGGCTGATTCTTATCCAATCAGCACTAGTCGATAGTTGGGGAATACTCTGGAATCTTCTTATGTAAAAACTATAAATATACCAACGTTTTCCCCTATTGTGCTTCCTACTGGCTTCTGACTTGCTATTTAGAATATAATCTCTTTCCTGTTCAACCGTGTTCTGATTTTGGGACTTGTCGAGTGAATCGGTGTCCGAGAATACTAAACAATAGGAATAGCTGGGACATTAACCGTAAAGAGAGAAGCAGAGTTATAACAGTGGCGACGGGAAAAAACTAAAGAAAAATGGCGATTTCTTTAGAACAGTTGCGGTTAATATTACAGCACCAGCAGAAGTTGTTAGCCTTGCAACAACAACTATTGAACACACTTTTCACTCGACCAGAAAATAAGAAATCTGTTTATGATGCAGTAACAGACATTTCAGAAGCATATCTAGTGGAGGGTTCAAATCCCTTTGTACCTGAATCAGAACGTAATATTTGTAACGTGTCCGGCTCACAGCAAGAAAATACTGTGCTGAATGCTCATAAAGTTGTGGCAATACGAAATGATCAAGAGCCAGACCCTGTAGATGAAGCCCGGAGTCCAGAATTGAATGAAACACTACTGGTCCTGTCTAGCTCTGAAAATAAACTTCAGCTAGAACAAAATTATGGTCCACGTGATATTAGCCAAGAAAGCTATGGGGACTCGTATTCAGAAAATAACTGCAGTGACACAACGAACCCAATTATACCGAATGTTACTCAAAATCATTGTGAGACAGAAACTTATATTGAATCAGCTTATCCGATTTCTAATGACAATGTATCAGACATGGGTTCTCAGAACAATGCATGTTATCTTGATGAAATTTCTCATAAAAATCAGGAAAATATATCAGCTGAGTCAAATTATGGTCAGAAGTCTAATTTAATTTTGTTAGATGATGATTTCCGTAATGATCTATTATCCACTGATGAAATTCTTAATGGATTTGAAAGTAATGCTTCAGAAGAATTAAACTTTGACCTCAAATCAAAGGTCGTTCATTATCATCTAGTCGTTTCTAGTGGATCCGACATTCAATGCGAGAAACGTCGTTTAAATAAAGTCCTATTATTTGTAACTTGGAGATATAAGGATCCGACATTGTTTCGCGGAGGAGGAGAATGTTGGAGAATTAAAAGTTATGCATACTTTTTTTAAGAAAAATCAAAACGCCGGGAACAGACATGTCAGTCTCTGTGCAAGGAAAAGGTGATAATTCTTTATTGCTTAGACGATGGACTAATCGAGAGCACAAGCCAGTCACTCAGTTGCAGTTGGACCCTAGCACCAGATCCTACGAATCTGCTCAGAGGGGAGGTGTTAGCGGGACATAGACTAGATTAAAGCATGCTCAATGCATGATTGTTTTGGTGCACGCTGATTGGCTGATTCTTATCCAATCAGCACTAGTCGATAGTTGGAGAATACTCTGGAATCTTCTTATGTAAAAACTATAAATATACCAACGTTTTCCCCTATTGTGCTTCCTACTGGCTTCTGACTTGCTATTTAGAATATAATCTCTTTCCTGTTCAACCGTGTTCTGATTTTGGGACTTGTCGAGTGAATCGGTGTCCGAGAATACTAAACAATAGGAATAGCTGGGTCATAACTGTAAGAAGAAAGAGATTATAACACTAGGACTCAATGCTATACCTACGCCGGAGAGTCCACGAGAAGCAGCATCTGGGCTGCCAGATACACGAAGTGTGAATCGAGTTGGTTCTTTATTTTGACATGGTGATGTCAAGTGAATGACGCTACTCGGATTCTGTATGCGCGTTTCGAAGACGCAGCACACATCGATGGCACGAGATTCTAAAGTCCTAGCTAAGGAAGCCTGTTGTCTTATTTGGCACAGCGTTCGTACGTTTAAAGCTCCTACATGTAGTTTAGAGCGTGGTTTCAGGAGACCAGGAATAACGTTCCGCGTACTCGAATCGTTTTCCCTAGCGGTGCGATGTGAAAAAAGAACGTGAGTATTAGTCGGGGAGATAAGAGTTGTATTAAGAGGTGTAGGAAGGATTTGAATGTGACCAACTTGGTCTCGTGTGCTGTTACGGGTAGAAATCATAATGTGGATTGATATCAATAACCCTTACAAACTAAAAATATACCGGATTATCCGTGCTTGTTTGAAATGTTTGAATTCTACTGAAGCAAAATAGTTTAACTTCTCATCACTCTCTAAGCAGATGTTGAGTTAATAGACAGATATAATTCAGCAACCTGAATTCCATTTTACTTTGCTGGTACTAGTGATACTACATAGCTTTCTGACTTTCGGTAAATGATACAAAGTCCTTCCCTTAGATCTCGTTTAGAGCTGATCCACTGCCTCTTGAGTAGTGTAATGCATTAGTGTAATACACTCCGATTTCAACTTGTCATAAGTCCATACTCCGACGCATCTACAAAGACTGACAGTCAGGTACTATCAAAAGTACCAATTCGTATATTAAATGGTACTCAGCTCAATACACAGATCTGCATATGTTCACGGAGCTGCATATCTTGGTAGGTGCATCTAACTTCCTCATTGATCTGCATTAGCAGGTAACGGCTCTGTCACGCGAAAGTAAACATTGCCATCCAACAGACGGAAAAACGTTAACCGCTGATTCACTGAAGTAAACGAAAATATAAATGGGTTTAAGTTTATATCGAAACCACGTGAAAGGAAGAAGTAAAATTGATGATAATAACACCATCGAAGAGTTAAAAGTTCGAAAATAATGTCCAAAAACAAGCGGAGTTGAGCGATGGGACGTAAAGGTTTAAAATCCGTAAAATTTAGTGCAAGATACCGAATGTATATTCCAGTCCAATAGTAATCAGTTTGGAGCTATGTTACCTAAATTGACAATTTATACTACAAAACAGGCTCACTACCGTATATATTGAAGCTGTCGTAGTAATCAGATTTTGTCTGACAATATATTTCTAATTAATGAAATTCGAGGTATGACTTGTGATAAATACATGTTGGTCCAAGTTGCTACATCTTATGACACAGGTAGAGGTAATTAACAAAATGAGAAGCAACGGGAGAGAAACAATACCGATTTCAGTGAAGTTCTAAACACGAAAAATGTAGTTTTGAGGAAATTAGTATCATCAAATGGAGAAAAATTGGCGTGTTACTTAAGTTAATACTAAGTAAAGATAAAAAACAAATACAACTTCTATAATCGGACCCCATAAAAAAGATTATATTTTGTGTATATTTGAGGATTTTTGTAACTAACTAGACTCCTAAAGACAAAGCGAATTCTATTTTCTAAAAATCGTAGATTTTGTAGGTATCATTACCAAGGTTTGATTTGATAATTTCGAATAAATTGAGCATTGGGTAGATTGTTACAAATATATTATTTATTTATAAATCGTAGATTGTTCACTTTAGTAAAATTCATTTTTTCTCAGGTGTACCTAGAAAATATTGTGTGAAATTCTTTGGAGAAGAATTGCGAAATTTGTTGTTGACAGTAGTCTATCATGTGCACCTTTGTTGTAGTATGTTAAGAATGAGCAGAAACATGAATAATATGTATTCAGCACTTTTAGTTATGCTAAGGATAGAGGCGTCGTAGATTCCTGCAACATGGCGTAATAAAGAAGCTTCTCTATTTTTCCACCCATTTCCTGCGTCTGATAAATGATACGTGATATAGAATAATCTGGGAAGACATGTTTGAAACGCTAATAAGCCTTAGGCACAAGTTAGCCATGCGCATCAGTGTCATGATAAAATCTGTGAAAAAGTATTGAGGCATTACATTATTATTATTATTACTCTTATCATTATCCTTATCTCCTCTTACCCCGTTTCCTGTCTAGTTGACCTTTTATTTTTATATATAAATGCTCTTAACAAGTTTATGTGTGACCAGATTGTTCGAAATGTATTGCGCTAATATATCACATAGTTCTGATAATCTTCGTCTTCTAATATCATTATTGAAAGACATTACATTAGTGTTGACGCTTACGTGATTTAATAAGTACAAGTTGATGTACTTTGAGGTTAAAACACATTGTTTGTAGGTTAGTGATACTTATAAGTCGCTCAAAATGGGGTAGGTGATGCTGGCTAGAGCCTACGACAGGGAAGTTGAAGGCGATTAAATGAAATATCCGTCATTTCTCTTAATTTTATCTCTACATCGACATATATATAGACAGTATTGAAAATACTCATGTATATACAAAATAGTTTTAGAAATATTTAGTATCCGTTTGATGTTTTAGTTTCATGATAAGTTATGTGTTTATACTTCATGTATAATTCCTCTATTTTTTTTGCTTTGTAACTAGATGCTTCGGGATGCATGTCGACATGAATCTTTAGCCAAAGTTGTTCTTCGTTCACCAGAATTTTATCAGTTATTTGAACATGTACAAGGCACAGCATTTGATGTGAGCTCAGATGCTTTTGCTACATTGAAAGATTTGCTTACTCGTCATAAGGCTCTTGTAGCAGATTTTCTATCAGCTAACTATGATGTATTTTTTGACCATTATATGCATATGATTTTATCAGATAATTACGTCACAAAAAGGCAAGCATTAAAGGTTAGTTCTCTCTATTCAGTATAAATTATTATTGTATTTTCCCTTTATCCTCCTTGTTTGCTTTGTTGATCTTCCCCTTTGTTTTATTAATAAATGTGGCCATTCGAGACTGAAGTCTTTTGTGCCAAATTAAATGTTGTCTACCCAATGCTCAATTTATTCGAAATTATCAAATCAAACCTATAAACGTTGTCTTGTTCAGTTAATTATATTTAGAAAAAATTCATGTCCTTAGGGTATATATATAGAATAGATGAAATATGGTGAGCAGTGGAATCCAGGACTCATGTTCCGTCCCATTTAGGACTCGTCAGCTGGATATACATGCACTCAAAGTTGATGTTCACCCGGGACTGGAACCCTGCACCTTCTGCATTAAACGCCAATATGTTATCCACTTAGCTATTGAGTTCAAATATTCACTCACTTGTGCAATGAGTATGAGTTTTAATTCAATTCGGAATGGTTTGTATTATTCCGTTGATATTTTGACTGAAATTTAATCAGTCATGTTTGGCATATGTGCATTCTCTGCAAACTGTCTTAATGTATCCATTATGAATTGAAGCTAGTTATTCTTTCATCACTTCACTTCATTAGAATTGACCCGAGACGGAAAAAAATGTGTGGAAACATGATATATTTCAAAAATACTGGAACGAAAAGAGCTTCATAATAAACTTATGACAGCTTCTCAATCTAGTCTTTATTACTAATTGGTTGGAAATAAGCTAATGAATTAACACAACTAAATTTAATTAACAAGTTATCCCATTTCTATTCTGCTGATAATAATTAAATGTCCTAAACATTGTTTTCTATATTTAAGTTCTTATAATTCCATTTTATTAATTTGTCCAAGTGATTGGTATAGAAGAGTTCCATTCTACTGTATACTTTTTTAAATGTTGTCTTTGAAACTCTGAGGTTCGATTCAGTGTGAATAAATTTTCTGAGAAGTCAACAGGTTTGAATGAAGACTTGGGGTGTTTTAACATTAGTGATGTATAACTTGAAAGTTTAAATCGACATGCCGAAACTATCCTGTCAGCTTGTTTTATTTAAAGTAGTTTTAGTAATTGTATAGTAGATGCTACTCACAAGTAGTATGTAGCGGAACGTGGAGTCAAAGTTGTAACAGTCATCAGACGACGATATCAGTGCAGCGAATGCACGGCGTAGTCAGAACACCTCGGGACCAGACGAGAAGACAGTTTAGAATACAGATTGCACCGAACGATGCAAATGGATGATAGAAGGTTATGTAAATTTATTACGTAAATACTAACTTCTCACAATAAATATAGATTCATTCTGCTTATTGCCTTCTTTTACAATTTTAGCTTAATTTTTATTGCAAAATATTGGTCATATTTTATACGTAGCTTCTCTCTCGTCACTTTTAATTGTAAATGTGTAATGCTTGGTTGAATCAAATACACTCGTTAAGTCATGAAATCATAATTTTAATATGGTGAAAAGATCTCATTTGGATTATCTCATTCACAGAACTTTCCTTTCTCATCCTGATATATATTTACAAAGAACATCATCTATGCTAACGACGGTCAGTCGAAAAGAGAAATGAAAATAAATCAGTAAACGTATAAAATATGAAATTCCTGTTTAGAAGTCCAATCAAAAACTGACTAATAATGTTTTCGAAACCAGATAAAGAATACGATATGAGAAAATTTGATTAATTTCCTCAACATATGCTCCCACTTACATTTTTGATTTATACCCTTTTAACAACATTAATATCGTCTTTCAATTTCCTGAAACTAATTATTTCGAAAGTCCATATACAAGCCATAACTCACAGAAAAATAACTATTCCTTTTCTATTTGAAATTTTATGTTCATATTTAATTGTGAAACTCTATTTCCGTTTTTTAATGATCTTATTCCCAGTTGTTAGGAGAGCTTTTACTTGATCGGCATAACATCTCAATAATGACCAAATATATTGCAGATCCGGAAAACCTCAAAGTCATTATGAATATGTTGAAAAGTAAAGAAAAGCAAATTGCTTTTGAGGCGTTTCATTGTTTTAAGGTTAGTTTAACCTGCAAAAATATATAAAGTATTTGTTTTCCATAAATTTATTGTAGGTCGACAGGTATTTTTTCGGTAATTAATTCACTTACAACTGTATGGACTCATCAATAGATATCATATAAGTAAATAAATATTTATGCAAAATAGCTTGAGTGATTGCTCTTTCAGCCTAACATAACTTACGAATTGTTCGTAACTCACTATCTTGCTGAAATGGTAAGTTTGTGATAAACAAGTAATATAGCATAAGTTTAAAGATCTCAAGGTATCATTGGTGGAAACAGCATATTATAAAGGCTGTCTAACTGTATGAAGTGTGACAAATATGCATTGATGAACGAAGTCAGCGTTTTATATATTTTAGTTCGTGTGCGGCTTGAAAATCATATCAGCTTATTGATTACAGCTTTGTAGGTATCCTGTAGATATTCTGTTTCGAGCAAATGTTTCGATTTATCTTAATATTCTAATTTCTGCTTGCATAATTCGTGTTGAAACCCGAGACAAAAGAGTCTTTCGATTTTTTGACAGTGTTTTCATGGGTAACTCATGAGCTCCCATGTCTTAACAAAGTTCATTGATGCTGTCATTAAATGTACTAACCTCAAATATTAATTATTCTATTGCGTTGTTACATTCTTTTTAACCTCTGGCAATCAACAAAACTCACAGTAGATAAGGTTTATATTCAATATGATCAGTTAGGTGGATTTTCCAATTGGCTTAATAGTCTACTGTGGGAAGTAAATGAAATATTTTAGATAGTATTTTATGACTTCTGAAAATCCTTTGGTGTTGTGAATATGTCACCGATGAGTTTACATTTGGACTAAGTTTTGGTCCTGAATTTCCTACGGCTGGAGTCGGACGATTAAACACTGACTACCGTAAGTCGTTTTATGAGTAGTTTTGCCTAGTAGCCATGTCGGTCAATAAACATCGATTACTACCTATAATGAGAGAAAACTAGACGATATACTGGTATTTATTTAGTAAGATGCTAGTTTATTTGAACAAGTGAATAATTTTACATCGGATCATAATTAAGTTGATGTGTCTACTTTAAGAGCAATAGTTTATCGATGATATCAGTAGATTAATCTGTTATTGATTCATTATATAAACCGACAGTAATTATCACGGTGAATAATATTATGTGGATGCAAAATTTATTTCTCTGTGTTATCGCTTTTCTTGTCTAAATGTAGACTTTTTCCAAGTTGACTTCCACCTTTCAGTCTACGATGGAATAATGATGTGTATTGTTAAATTGGTTTATTATGGTGTGATATTATTTTAAAAATCATCCTTCTTGAATCTTCAATGCTTATCAAGATTTCACATGTTCCTCTTTTTTTGGTTCTTCTGAAAAGTACATCTACACATGAGTGGATAGTTGAGTTGCATGTCACTTGTGTTTGTAATATAAGATCTTTTATTATTCGATTGCATGTCTTCATGTGAATTAACAAAACGTATGTACGTGCATGTTCAAGTTTACATATCCAATAGCTTAAAGTGTAATAATTGGTTTAGTTTATCTAAAACCCTGCTTATTACACCTAATGAAGATCAATCGTAAAGTAATGATATATTTGTAAGTAGAGATCAGAATTTCTTACGTTTTCCAGCTTAGTTTAAATTTCCTCTTCAAGAGAGGAAATAAATAAATAAACGATAATGATGATAATAATAATATTTATTATTAGCTTTATTCAATATTATGTTTTTTGGTACAGTATAGAATTCTCAACACAAAATATTTGAAAATGTTTCCGTTTCTTACTTCTTGGTCGATCCTGACAATAAATATTTGGTAATCGCCAGTTAGAAGTTAGCAGTCCAGTGAGTAGATATCTAAGTAATGTACATTCTTTAAGCTGCATATCACCAGGAACCACGATATCTCCGGTTGGGCCTTTTGTAACTTGTACATCGAGAGGTTGTACAATTTTCATAAACGCTCTTGAATAGGTTATGCGATTAATAGCCATAATGATGTATTAAAATAAATTGTTTAAATATCTAGATGTCAGGAACAAGTAGCCCAGGTGTTCAAACAGGCCGCCATTGATAATACCCGAAATACATTGAGATGAGTTTATTTAGTAAAGAAGAACAAGATAGAACATTAAGCTCAAGGAGAATCAAAATAAGTTTGATTATGTCATTCACGTCGTTTTTGGTTAAGGTAGTTTTTTATGTGACATCACCTTATGTATGATGATGGGTGGGAAAAATATGAAAGGTCCAAGTTGGATGGGTAGTACAGCTTTCCTTTCCATTGAGAGCAAAGGGATTTAGGATTTTATGGAACGCCTCAACTACTGGTCTGTCATGATAATTGGAGAAACCTTTCTCAATTATTTTTTATTTTTAATATTGATTTGGTGGTTATTGAATATAGTATGTACTGGTATTCTTATTGGACTTGTAGATTTCCATGTTTTACGCGATTATCAGAGGGTCTTTTTGTATAACTTGGGTGTTCCTTGACATTAGTCGAAATTTCACGAAACGATTCCTCAATGTAGAACTCATCACGCTCGACACAAACTAATCTGTAGACATAATTGTGTATACATCTAGAAGAGAGAAATTTTTCTAAAGATTATTTAACAGAAAACTAATTCAACAGAAATTCACAGATTCATGTTCCAATTAATGAGAAACATTTCTTTGGTTTATAATTTACCACATTGTAGAATCTTTTCCCTTAAAACACTACAAATTATTTTTAATTACACATTTTCCCGTGCCTTCCCTGTTGATCGCAACGTTTTTTCCTTTTGCCTAATACCATTTTCATTCATTCATTGTAACAACTTGATAAAAAAGTGGTTTAAAAACAGTCTAAGCACCAATATTGACAGCTATTGTCAAAAAACTTACTGATTAATAATGTATGGTATAATTGACTTCATCAATTAGGTGAAAATAATGATATTGTCGGATTATCATAACTGAGCTTTTATTTCTATACTTCCATTGGCTAATTTCTAGTTTTTATCTTTATAGGTGTTTGTTGCAAATCCAAACAAGCCACCAGCTGTTCATATGATTCTATTTCGTAATCAGGAAAAATTGCTATCCTTTCTGACAGATTTTCAAACTGAACGTACAGATGATGGTCAATTCAATGACGAGAAACAGTATTTGATCAAACAGATTAGAGAATTGAAACCAGTGCCTATTTCTTCTAATCCAAATCCCACATAATTGAGCTCAATTGCACGTTCTACCTAATAGAAATTTTTGGTCTTGTTCTTGTCATTATTTAATGTGTCAGATTTGTATAAAATATGGTCTATGCCGTACATTCTTCAATTATAATATGTAGTCAGTACTCGATTTTAGATCCTCTAACACGTTTTGTGTAATAATTGATAAATATTCTGTCAGTAATTGTCTTTATGTTGCAAAGACTTAAATATTTTTGAGAAAACTATTATTTACCATAAGCAATTTTCATGTATTATCTCATAACTTTACTAAAAGAAGAGTAATTTTTAATGCCTCTGTTTGTTGATAATCTTCTTGTTGTATACTACACTTGTTATACTTGTTACCATCATACATTGTTAATCCGAGTTATGTAACCTTATTGGCTATAAATAATTTTACAACTCTTTCATCATACAATTTTCTCTTTTTTGCATACAAACTTTTTCGTTATTTCACTCAATCGAATAATTTATTTTAGTTCAGTTAGATTTATGCGAAATATTTTTTATCCGTTTATGTTGATGGGACAAATTAGCTGTATTTTACAAATTTTTTGTACAACACTCAAATTTTGTAGAACATAGCATTGAATGTGTATATATACTTCTTTAGACGTCCACCTGTCTTTCCATGATAATTCTGTGTAGTTAAGTCCTGCATATTGATTCAGCCTGTTGATTTTTCCCGTTTTGTTTTCCTTCTTTCCTGCTAGATTTTTTGCATATTAAAGACTGTTAGTCGCGGAATTGTCAGAGAAATTGGATTTCTTTTTTCGTAGTCTATGTAGAGTATTTTTGTTGAACCAATAAATTTTTTTGATGTAAAAATCATTATTTACTTACTATTAAATTTTTTTGATAGTATATAGTAATAATGGAGTAATTGGATTCTGTTCTCTTTCTCCCAAACTGTTTCTTCCTCCAATAAATATTTCTCTACATTAAAGTACTTTCAATAATTCTAAATTTCTATTTTCCTACCTATGATTTTCTTTTTACTGTTAATATTATGATTGTAGCAATTGTGGATGCGTATAATTCTTGTTGAGAATCCTCGCCTGGTCTTTTGTTATTATTATTCATAATTCTACTTTACTCTTGTACACATATTTAGTAATGGGAACATATAGATTGAATAATTGGTGTTCTACTATGTTAGCGTATTTCTTATTATTATACCCTACATCCTCTTACAATTTAAACCAAGCAGATTAGTTAATCAATGTTAATTTATCTACCAGTGTGATTAACAATGAATTTAATCTTGGAATGTCTTCATATTTTAATTGTTCAGTTTTATATAGTTTAGGTTGTGTATTGCTTTTTAAAGGCCTTAACTTTATGAGAGTTTTGGTCATTTTTAGCACAGCTGATTACTTTGCATCCTAAATAACGTATTAAATTAAATTTTGGAGATTAGGATAAAATTATGGTATTGAGAACCTGTGTGAATTGCAACTGCATATTGGCGCAGCTGCTATATTCATTCACAACTTTTGTGGAAGCAATATAAATAATTCGAAATAGTTAAGAGTATTAGGAAACAAACGTTTTTAAAGTTCAATATTGACTAATTAGCTGTGTGTAGTTAATCTGTAAACTGAAAAAGGTAATATGACGCTAGGTCACTTGTTATCTACCTTAACTGACTATTTACAATGTATTATATTATAGAAATTCATGCAACCAATGCTACCTTAACTACTGGCCTCACTTTTGATTAAAGCAAAACAATAATACCATGATTTTCTTTTTGTCATGGTCTAATTGCAACACAATCTACCAAGCTATTAAGGTGTAAATAACTGACTGAAAATCTCTATTCATAATTTTAACGTTGAAAAAATACATCTTCAAGTATTCAAACTATTCGGATACATACTGTGTCATTTCAATCACTACTTTCTCACTTTAATGACTAAAAAATAAAGTTAATAGACACCTAAAGACATCTATTTCTGAGAGGAAATTTTAGAAAACACTTATCTGGCTGAGCGATACAGCATCAAAGGATTTAGTAATAATTTTCACCATGTGTGATGTTGCTCAACCATGTAGCACAATATAGAAACATGACCACCGGATTCACATCCTTTAAAAAGTTTCGTTACCTCATGCATCAGCTTTTACCGCATTCCGTTTAGTTTTACAGATTGTCTATGACCGGATCCACACACTAGCCCTAGTGACTACATTTGCCTTTGTTTGTGATTGTGAACTGATATTTATGATTAGAGTAAACTGGTGATTTCGACTGTTTGACCAATATTTAAAGTGCTTTTTATGAATTAGTACGTTTATTTGTTCTTTTGTGTGTTTGTCTGATAAGTTATTTCACTGCTTTTCATGTGTTTGTATTTCTGCTGAGAGCACAAGAAATTAGGTATTCATATTACACTAATATTTTTGCTCCATAAACTTGTAAACCCTTACAAATAACTTAGATCTTAAAAACCATACTTGACATTTTATCGTGTAAAACTTTAGTTTCGTTTATGGTTAAGGAGTTATTTAATTATTAAGACATGTTAGTAGTTAGCCTATTTTATTTATATATTTTTATGTTTTGGAGATGCGGAACATTTTCATTGTTCATTCAGTAATTAATTTGCATTTAGGGTTTAATATAATCAGTAAATAGATACATAAACGAGATTTAATTCCTAAGATCACATGAAAGCAATTCGTCATACTTCATTGAACTCATACTTCATAGGCCGTATGTTTATTCATGATATAAGTAAACTCTTTTGGCTTCATAGTTCTATCTTCATTACATATTCCTCCTACAGATCTTATTCACTAGTTTTTGATTTGTTAACACCGTCGTTTATTAGTGGGCGATATATTTTATGCTAATAATCATTTCAACCTTATTGCCAATATATTTTAAAAAACAAACAAATGAGCTGTATTTAATAGTTTGTGAACAAGTTACGTGAAATTAATTTCTATCCGTCAGGTGTTCAGAATATATCACAATACTGTACTTGTGTACTTAAAAGTATTTCAAACCATTGATAATAGGTGATCTGATTTAATTATTCAATTATACTTGGGTTTGACCGTTGCATATATTTATAATTGGGTTGATAATTGTCGTAAGCTCACCGAGATTGCTTCCTGATGGTTAATTAACTATTGCAGCTCACTTCCTGTGTGTACATTTATATATCTAGCTTCTAGATGCACCTAATGTGTGTCAGCAGGGCTAGTTGTGCTGCCCCATTGTCCAAAGGAAAATAGACGGGATTGAGATTCTTAACAACAAACCAATGCTTGAAGGTCGGATGCCGAACTAGGTCAGGAGTCCGCTTTATGATTTATTTCACACCTTGAAATCGCTGACTGTAAGGTGAACATTGTTGACAGAATTTTAGAGGTGACAAATGTTAACAGTGCAAATGCTTGTTGAAAAATGAAAGGTATATAAAATGGGTCAATCATTCATATGTTGTGTAATCTATAAAGAGAATCATTAATTCCTGTTTTATTCAGTATTAATGATATACCAAAGAATATCACTTTTCTAACGTGTATCTCGAAACATTCATCATGGATTAAATTATTACTCATTCAAGATTGACAAGTTTTTGAGTTTTCCGACCACGACCACTCGATCCTGTTTAAATTACTGAGTTTAATCAGCTGGTCGCAGCCATCTTATTTTAATGTTTCTGTCAACATTTACGGGCGCTTTTTTTAAGTCACAGGGCGTTTAAATTACCAAAAGCTTGTAATTGTACGGAAGTTTTATCAGTTGCCAATCATCCAACGTTTTCATATTCGACGAAGCTTCTATGAGGCTGAATGTAGCCTTCACGAAAAGGGACGTACTGACAACAGCACATAGTTCCGAATTCAAACTAAATAAATATCTGGTCCGCACGTCTGTGGTCAGTTCTAAAGGCTACCTATTTCCTTATGGGTTTACTGTTCTTGAGGTTAAGCAAAGGGTTGTGAGATTATAGAAATCAAGATTTTATAAGTTGTTAGTCCATCTAGTTCATTACTATCATAAGAGAATGTATCTTGCTTTCATAAGGATCCGACTAGCTACTTAAATTAACCGAATAGATTTGTATTCAGCCCCTAAACGGCAACTAGTTTTTGTTCGCGTAACTATTAATTCTAGATCATCGAAATTTATTCAGTAGTGTTCAAAACTCATTGGCATGAGTTTTCAAGCATCTGTTGGTTTGATAAAAGTTGCTAGAATCCACTAGCATTTCTTAGATTACTTTATTATAAAAGTTATGTGACTTAATGATAGAAATCCAGATAAGTATGCCAATGAACCAGACATTCATCTGATTATGTTCTAATTTCAGTGTAATTTATTTGTTAGAACCTAAAAGGAACAGATCTACAACTGATTTATTTTAGCAACTCCCCTCTTCACTATTGTTCCAAACAATTTGTTTGACAAATCAACAGTGTTATTTGACCATGAATAAAGTAGTTTAAAGTGTAGCATGAATCGGGAAGCATATATTAGTTTATGATGCCGTTGCTTTGTAAAGGGATCAGGATTGTATGAGTGTATTTTATTTGCGCACGAAAGATAACAAAACTGTGTGATCCTTTCCACTTTAAAAAATTAAGTTTGTGAAATATCTCATCAAATAACGGATCATTTACTAAATCTATCTAGGGTTTATATTTTGAAATCCACTTACTACTCGAAATAACTAGAGAACAAATGCAGTTTTATTGAGATGATGAACCGGTCAGTGTTAGATCAACAAGTAAAACCTGAAAACATCGGACTGCATCCTAGTATGGGACTCAGCGATGCGTAGCTAGACATCAACACCGCTGAATGCCGGTCTGGCGGTTAAACGTTCTCGCGAGACCAATGGTCCTGGGTTCGAGCCCGACGTGCGAAATTGAGGGTATACATTGCTGGAGAGTCCTACATTAGGACGAAATGGCCGTACGGTTTTGTGTAGTGACGGTCATTTTCTTAAAGATTGGCTTCATAACTCTACGCTTACTGGGTAATGAAATATATGATTTGGACATACAAATTAGTCTTTTGTCAGTCAATCATTGCCCATAAAGTTTCCTGGTTGATAGTCTCGTCTACTGATTTTTCTCATAATAGATGTTCCTAATTCACTGATATAAGGACACGACGTCTTGTTTCTGTCCACCTGTTCAGGTTGTTATCTTAAAATGCTTAACCGTGTTCATATTATTCTTGTTTTAGTTTCTATCAAGCTGAAATGAAGTGATACCGTTATACAGTCAGCAGTTGAGTAGAGCTTAACATGATGATATTTCTTTGTGATTATCGTAGACATTTAATCTACATTGACTAGGCTTCGGATTTTTATAGTATTCTAGCTCCTAAATATTTTAACTTGGAATGGATTTAACCATGGCCACTGGTTTTAAGGCGAAGAGATCCTTCACCTAAAATTCTATATTTACAGGAGATATTATTTCTAATCTTTGAACCAAGTAAATTGTAAAACATTGGTTTAACTTGTGTTAACTGCCTAAACAAAGCTTAATTTTGCATACTTGATTATTATGAGAATATTTCTCAAATTAAAACAAGTTACCCTAAAAGAACAGTTTAACAATGAAGCTTTCATTTGTTCTTTCATTCAGTCTATTTAAATAATAAGTACATATTTTTTGTTATATTCCTTTGTGAATCATTTCTTCGGAAAAATGGCTTACATGAAATCATGAAACGTCAGAAATACAATTTTTCTACTCATTTGGATATAAAAAAAGATATTTATTATTAACATTCTACCCAATGCTCAATTTAGTTGAACCTATAAAGTTCAATCGTGGCATTGATACTTACAAAGTTAGTTTATTTAAATTTTTATGCCACTGAGCTGTTGTATGTTTATGTTTTATTGATAAGATGGTCAAAAATACAACTTCATTGTCTGTTTCGTAACCTCAGTATTACTTAACTTTTTATCATCATGAATATAGATTACCATTATCAATTGTTGTCAATTAGGTGTGTGTGTTTTACCAAAGAAAATTATTTTTGAACTGTCTTTTCCCATATTAGTAATAAATTTATTACATTAATTAATGATCAATTGTGTTAGAAGATACATTCACCATTGGTTTCGAAAAAAAAGTTGACTAATTCTTTTATTCAACCAAGTCTATCGATAACATGTTCAAGTGAACGTATGGAATAATCAACAGAATTTTTAAAAAAACGATTTAGAAAATATATGATAATGATGTTCAATACAGAAACATCTCTTGCTAAAACGATCCAAGGAATTT